AGGTGGTTTAGGTGGTATTCAGATATAGGTGGTTAAGGTGGTACCCAGATCTAGGTGGTTAAGGTGGTACCCAGATCTAGGTGGTTAAGGTGGTACCCAGATCTAGGGGGTTAAGGTGGTACCCAGATCTAGGTGGTTTAGGTGGTACTCAGATGTAGGTGGTTAAGGTGGTACCCAGATCTAGGTGGTTTAGGTGGTACCCAGATCTAGGTGGCTAAGGTGGTACCCAGATCTAGGTGGTTAAGGTGGTACCATGCCATTCAGTTTGGTGGCTGAAATCCCAAAGAAGATTTTAAATGTAGTCTGATGAAAAACTTGCAAATGCTGAGTTTGCATGAGCTTTGGTGATTTTGGATGCAGAAAAATACTGGAATAATTGTTGAAACAGGTTTGTACAAACACAAACAAAAAAAGTTCGGAACTGTCTTGTTTCAACTCCAACTGGCTTTCACATCCTAAGAGCAACACTCCTTACCTATCCCCATGACACGTCCCCAGGATATCAAGTGTTTCTCCAGTCTGGCATCATCAAACTGTTCGTGTTTCATGAGAAGTCGTACAACCTCCCCATGAAGGTAGGCATCGTCAAATGAAGATTCCTCAGGGAATGGGAACTGATCATACACGTCTACCGCCTTCAAGGGTTCTTCCTTGACTAGGAGATCAGCAAGCTCAATGTAGGCATCGTGGATCTTAAAATGAAATAGAGTAGACTATGACAGGTATTTGAAGGTTTAAATGTTTGCTTGCAACCCATGGTGTTATTTCTCTGAAATCCTTAAGTCATGTGTCAGTGTTGTATGTTAAAATTTAAGGATAAAATCCTTGAATAAATGCTCAGATAGCCTTGAGTTTTGGGTACAAAGATATTCTTCAGGGGCTCTAAATACTTTTGATCTGTTGATATCTTAAGGTACCCTTCTGTACCTATTATGAAGTTTGGAAATGCTCTTCTACCTACTAACACATGAATTAAATAGGATGTGAAATAAATAGACCCAATTTGATCAAACTTAAGATAACTTTGAAACCTACACTCAAACCCATTTAAAACCAACCAACAATCGTCTGCAGACTTCTTACTTGATAACAAAGTGCAGTAGCTGCCTCAAGAGGAACTACTAATTTTCCAGGAAGATAAAATTATATACTTCTCAACTTGACAACTCAAAAACAAAGAAATAAGGGGCTCTCTAAAACTTCTCCTGTCGAGATATGAGGTTATTTCCTGAAGCTTATGGTATTAAACTTAAATACTCTCCATACATGTTATACAACTGTTTGTAGTTTTCACAAAATGTTAACAATGTGTGTTCACGTGTTCCCTACAAATTCAGACCAGATCACTAAGTTTCACCTCTATTCTCAATCAAATAAGCAAGTTGCGTGACAGACCTGTGGAGCCATGACAATGACGTCATTGTACAACACCTGCGACTCTGACGTGTCCTTTGCTTCTCTGGCCAGCGCCCTCGCTAAGCCAAGCCGTGCTGGGTAGGTGATACGATTCAATGGAGCATTACTTGGCACAGGTTGTGTCTCCTTGCCTGACAGGTGTAATCAATGATCAATAGTCGCTCTTATTAAAAAATCTTTACATGTGACCAGTCACCATGAAGTGAGCTTCAAGTCACACTTTTTAAGAATTGAGAAATTTTAGTTTCTGGATAATGCAGAATAAGAGCTTACCTATGGTATACATGGAAGGGGTACTTGTGTTAAGTCTTGGAAATACATGTACAAATTGTAAATGGAGTTTATTTTTAGAAATGACTATTGAAAATCCCCCA